AGTATATGTCGGACCCGAATAACATGGACCGCGAGCTGAAGTTTGCTTTTGTCCTTTTTGTGTGGATGATTTTTGTGGGACTTATGGGCGGCGCCTCGTATGTGAACGTGTTCCACAACATTCTTGAGGAGACGCGACTGATGCAGGAGAAGGAGCTGAATGAGGCCATGGTGTTTCTTGCCTCGCGTCAGAAAAAGAGTGGCGATGCGGGAGGGACGCACGCCGAGCGTGGGGAGCAGGAGAGGAACGTGGTGGACGGCGAGTCAAAGGAATTGTGCGAGGCGGCCCACTACATCACGACGGTCTGGAAGGAGAAGCGTGACCTGGCCATGAACATTGGGTCCATATACTCGACAATTGGAATTACTTTGGGTTCACTGCTGGACCTGCTGTTCACGCTGGTGGTGCTCAAGGGAGAAGCGGAAGCGTAGCGTAAGGTTGATAACGGTAATAGCACGGGCTTGGGTAATCAGGCGGAAATAATTGGAAGGGGAGTAGCTACTGGGGGAGATATTTTGTTTTTTTTTATTTGTGAAAACCCACGGGAGGAATTATTAGCGTCCAGACGAGGATGAACAAATGCGGGAGCCGCTTGCGCATCTGTCTTGTTTTTTCACGTGTTGATTGAATGGTTTTATGCGTGAGTGCGCTGGAAGGTGGCGAGAGCGGTTTCCCTTTCTTCTCTGCCGTTCTGCCCCCTGCTACACCAGCTCTCTACAAGGGGGAGCATGTGGTTGTCGCGGCGTTGTCTCGGAGCCAAATTTCTTACTGTTGCATGAGTGTTGGACAGATCTTCTCTGAGGTGTGAGGATGCCGGGTGCCCTGAGCCGAACCGTTTTTCTTTTCTTGCGGCTATTTTCTTGCGGAGGTGGGGAGTAGGGCCCTATTCAGGCGCGTGTTTTTGTTGTGGTTTTGTTTGGGATTCAAAATAGTGGTGCGGTGGAGAGTTTCAGCCGGCACATTCTGAAATTATTCTTGCTTTGTGCAGCCAAGTGATATTTGCGGCGGGCAGTGTCCCCACTTTCTCTTTCACCGGGCGTGGTGCACCACACCCATTGATTTTGCGCAGCGCAGCTCTCCACTTTGTTTTCTGGTCGTCCTATTTGTTTCTAACAGAAGATAGCAAAACACACTCGCAATGATACCTGTTTCCGTGAAGAAACTGGAAGAGAGTGTCCATGTGAAACACCGCATCCGTAACGCCTTCAGTTTGTGGTGGTTGGGCATGATCAACAACTTCCATTACACA